GAGTGTAAGAATAAAATATTTTATTATAATTTATTTTTGTCTTATTAAATTATCTATTATAATTAATAGTCAACTCATGCATTAATTCGATTATTTGAAAAAAAAATAATAATTATAATAAAAAATCATCACATCAAATCGATATATTAAAAGAAGTTCAACGTTTAATAAAAGAAAAAGCTGATGTTAATATTAAAAATAAAGAAGATTATACGATTCTACAATTGACTATACGTAACGGATATTATGAATGTTTAGAAACACTTATTATAGATGGGAAAGCTAAATTAGATAAAAAAGGACCGTAAGTTCTATATATATATATATCGAGATTTTAATATCAATTGAAATCAAAGATTGACTGTGTATTTTTTCTTTTTTTTTGTTCAGATAAAAATTGATATTCAAAATGTTAAGAAATATTGATTTTGTTTTGTTTTGTAGACGAGGTAATACAGCATTACATGAATGTTGTTTATTAGGACTTGATGGTGCTGAACCATTAAGAATTCTTCTCAAGTAAGTTTATATTTTTTAATTAGAAATTTAATAAGAAAATAATAAAATTTAATTTTTTTTTTATGATAAAGACATGGAGGTGATGCATCTTGGTTAAATGATAAAAATGAAAGTGTTATTGATATAGCAGCAAAACAAAATTGTCCAGAATTATTACAAGCTTTTTCTAAATATCAAAGTGAAAAAATGCTTAAACAACATATGAAAAATTCTTATGATGATCATACAAGAATAAAAACTATTCATGGTCATCATTCATCAGAAAAATTATAAAGAAAAGAAAAAATAAAAGTTTTTTTTTTCTTTCTTCATATTGGATAATAGTTGATGAATGTTTGTTTTTAGTTTTTTACTTTTATTGTTTTTTCTTAGCAACTGAGTGCTTTGTGTTTTAAATTCTTTCTTTGATACAAAATCTTACTGGGGATTAACAAAACTAATAAATAATGTCAAATAAAATAAAAATAAAAAAATATGAATTAATTTTTAGTACGACTAATGTAGATGGTTATTATTTTAAGTCTTCTTCACTTTATCATTGCGATAAAATTCGCTAAATTCTGAGTTAGATCGACCTATTGTTAGGATGATTTGTAATCTATTTTGATCAAGATTTTATTAATAAAATCTTAAAGTTTGAAAAACGACAAAGTTTACAAAAAGAAGGGTCTTGTTATCAGCGAAATTATCTGTACTTTCTTACAAAACTGTATACAACGAGATTTAGCTATGTTTGATGTCCTCAGAAAGATTAAGTTATAGAATGTTTTCATGGAAAATACTTGATTTATTTGCTTATATATTCAACTGATCTATATGAAAAATTAAGCTGTTTTAGTTCTCTGCTGAATAGAATGTGAACATATGAGAAACAATTATTTCTTGCTTTTCTTTACATAAGGATATGATTCATGTCGCATACCATTAAATCTGGACAATAGGGTATGGTGTGCATGAAGAGAATATCTATATCCAAATCAGAAAAAGTAAATTTTATTGGTACATATCCATATGTATCCGAAAGACTTTCTTTATCCAAAAATGAATCAACAATTTTTTTTCATACAATATAATCACAAACAGTATGCATTCACACTAATAAAAGAAATATCGTATGTTTACACTTTGACACGTTAAATATCTTTTTTGTTGTAGGAAATCGAATTACTATTTTTTCGATAAGATTCAGCCGTATCAAAGTGACCCAATCTTGATCATTGATTTATTTTTCAATATGTTTTTTGGACTAAATTTTACTACAGTACGATACGTTTTATTTTAGTATTTTGACTGAGCTGAATACCAGAAGTCAAATTTATCGATGATAGAAAATATTTCATATTGTTTCGTGTTTTTTTTCGAAACGAATGTTTTTGAAACAGTCATTCTCATTTATATATCACTCAGATGCTTTTAATCATACTTCGGACATAGATTCTAGTGATATTAGATGATTTTAAATTAATACATATTATATAATAAACAAAAAAGTTCTTTATATAAGATGTAATCACATTGAAAGAAAGAAACATGCAATTTAACTTTTCTTCAGCAGTTGTTTGTTTACACATTCTATCTGCACATTTTCACTGCCCTGTACAGACATGAACGCAAGAAGAAAAACTGATGACAACTCGTTTGTTGTTAATGTATTTTTTTTTCTGTTGATCTTTCTTGTTTGTCGTAATTGCACTTTCCGAAGAAATCCAACAACCTCATGTAATTGACGTTATGGTTCATGTTTTTGCAAAGATATCAAGCATACAATACGATGATGGGATAATATTCCTCGCTGTCAATGTATCGTGCAGAATAGATATTGATAGTATCAGTGATTCAACTAGTGGCGTAACTAGGGGTGGGCATGCCCGGGCGCCGCCCGGTCACCAATAGTTTTTGCCCGGGGACTGGTGAAAAGAAAAATTACATCTATCATCGGAACATCTTTTGTCGCATAATCAAAAGCACTGAGAACCATTCGTAAGTCTGACAAATACGATAAAAACTAGACCCGTGAATGAGTAGGCAGTATTTGTTCTCTGTTTACATGGTCCGTTTTTCTTTTTCTGCTTGATTTTACTCCACAAAAAGAAAATACATTTAGGACTTCGAATATGTCTTGAAATTTAGGACAGACAATTTTCTATTTTTTTTGGGCATCTTTTCGAGAGAATGGGCCACTTTCCAGCTAAATTTGAGAACCGAAAACGGAAAAAATTGAGAATTTCTTGGTGACAAAGCTAAGTTTCCTAGAGAAGAAAGTGGATTCGATTTGTAAAATTAGTGAGTCCAGGGCCGCCCAAACTGAATGAAGTGTAGGAGTGGCAGTCTTTCTCTTCCGTTGATGGAAACTTTTCGATTTTTCAAGGCAAAATTCTAGAATGTTACTGTTGTTTTGAAGAATTTCACGTCTTCTCTTCGTCAGTTCTCGAAATTAGGTCGGCTTTCTCCCAGTAAAAAGAATTTCAATTCTTTTTTGAAAATTTATTTCGACTTTCTCCTTTTTTCTTCGCATAGTTGACAAAAAACGCTGCAGTTTCTGTGAAAATTCGTGAACATTTTTCAAAAAATTCCCCAATTGATCATACAGATCGTCGGTCCTCCCTCAACTTGAATGCTTATAGGCAACCCTGTTCTTGAGCGAGAAAAATGAAAGATTCTGAAGCTCATTCAGTAAAATTTGTTCAAATTGGGTTGTGTCATCACTCTGACTTCTCCTAATTTGCGCAGCCTTGGACATATTCTGCTCTCTTTTTAAGAGAACAAAAGTTGTGAGGATTAATCACTCTTTGATGGAAATTTTGACTACTGTTAATTAAATTTTTGAAATATTGTGGGGCACCGCCTGGGCACCGGTCATTTCGTGGTTACGCCCCTAGATTCAACATCCATTTTTATAGCAAACATGTTTCTTGATATATTTTCTATTAAAATACATTTACTATAAATATAATTTTAGTTATGTACGTGTGTATACAGGAAGAGTATGACGAAATTATATCTGAAGATTGTTTTTTTGGAAGAAGCAAATAAATAGAAAAGAAATAAAGCATAACGAAAATTATTTTGTATTTTCAAATATTTTACTAAAATTATTATATATAGATGCGGGTGTCATTACATCAGAGAAGGGCTCTGCGTGTG